GTTCATTGATTGTGAGCTCTGACTACCGTATACATAGTTCATTGATTGTGAGCTCTGACTACCGTATACATAGTTCATTGATTGTGAGCTCTGACTACCGTATACATAGTTCATTGATTGTGAGCTCTGACTACCGTATACATAGTTCATTGATTGTGAGCTCTGACTACCGTATACATAGTTCATTGATTGTGAGCTCTGACTACCGTATACATAGTTCATTGATTGTGAGCTCTGACTACCGTATACATAGTTCATTGATTGTGAGCTCTGACTACCGTATACATAGTTCATTGATTGTGAGCTCTGACTACCGTATACATAGTTCATTGATTGTGAGCTCTGACTACCGTATACATAGTTCATTGATTGTGAGCTCTGACTACCGTATACATAGTTCATTGATTGTGAGCTCTGACTACCGTATACATAGTTCATTGATTGTGAGCTCTGACTACCGTATACATAGTTCATTGATTGTGAGCTCTGACTACCGTATACATAGTTCATTGATTGTGAGCTCTGACTACCGTATACATAGTTCATTGATTGTGAGCTCTGACTACCGTATACATAGTTCATTGATTGTGAGCTCTGACTACCGTATACATAGTTCATTGATTGTGAGCTCTGACTACCGTATACATAGTTCATTGATTGTGAGCTCTGACTACCGTATACATAGTTCATTGATTGTGAGCTCTGACTACCGTATACATAGTTCATTGATTGTGAGCTCTGACTACCGTATACATAGTTCATTGATTGTGAGCTCTGACTACCGTATACATAGTTCATTGATTGTGAGCTCTGACTACCGTATACATAGTTCATTGATTGTGAGCTCTGACTACCGTATACATAGTTCATTGATTGTGAGCTCTGACTACCGTATACATAGTTCATTGATTGTGAGCTCTGACTACCGTATACATAGTTCATTGATTGTGAGCTCTGACTACCGTATACATAGTTCATTGATTGTGAGCTCTGACTACCGTATACATAGTTCATTGATTGTGAGCTCTGACTACCGTATACATAGTTCATTGATTGTGAGCTCTGACTACCGTATACATAGTTCATTGATTGTGAGCTCTGACTACCGTATACATAGTTCATTGATTGTGAGCTCTGACTACCGTATACATAGTTCATTGATTGTGAGCTCTGACTACCGTATACATAGTTCATTGATTGTGAGCTCTGACTACCGTATACATAGTTCATTGATTGTGAGCTCTGACTACCGTATACATAGTTCATTGATTGTGAGCTCTGACTACCGTATACATAGTTCATTGATTGTGAGCTCTGACTACCGTATACATAGTTCATTGATTGTGAGCTCTGACTACCGTATACATAGTTCATTGATTGTGACCTCTGACTACCGTATACATAGTTCATTGATTGTGAGCTCTGACTACCGTATACATAGTTCATTGATTGTGACCTCTGACTACCGTATACATAGTTCATTGATTGTGAGGTGTGACTACCGTAGTTCATCGGTTATTGGCTGTGAATACTGAAGCTAACACATTATAAGTTGTAAATACCGTATTCCATTGATGTTGTTAGATGCTGTGAATATCGAAGCAGAAATATAGAGTTTGCTGTGAATATTAAGCCCATTGATTGCTAGCTGTTGTAAAATCAACATATTTATATGATTTTTTGTTAGTAAATAATACTGTTGTTTTAATTAAAACATACATTTTGCTTTTAAAGCCCAAAATTGGTACGCTTGAAGGTTTTGCACAAATTAGCACAAATTATGGACCTTTCTCTTAACAACATATCAGTTACCTTTGAGATCACATAGCCAATGTTAAACCATTGGGAAGAATAGAAGTAAAAAATCAACATATTTTAAGTCAGGTTCATAATCAAATCTTTGGTTGATCCTAACAAATGTTTCAACTAGAATACGCCAAATTGTATTATGTTTAATAATCAGACATACAACCGAACTTTCTTTCGCCAAAAAAGAATAAACCTATAGATTTTCTACATTCGTAAGTTGTTCAAGTGTTGAAAGGATACTAAATGAGCGCTAAAAGATGACTGACACTCAAAAAAAAAGCCACAGACATTTTCACAATGGTAGTCACAATTAAAACGGTTCGCTTCTTGAATAAAATAGAGTATATTTGATACTTTCTACTTTCTCTCTTGGATAGAGAGAGCAATTCTGTTCAAGCGACAGATAAAGGAAGCCATCTTGATAAGCCGCAGTGGGCTAGTTCTAAATCGAGACGAGGGGGCCTCAAAGACTCTCGCACATCTATGACCAAGTATTAAACAAAGCGTAGCTGGATCGAGTCATTTCGGTACATATATAACAACTATTGTGCATGCGCTTACAGCGTAGCCGAAATCGACATCGATTTAATGGATGTTACACCTTTGTGTGCAATACGCTTCACTGGTCATTTGACAGTGTACATATCGTACTAGTCATAGAAACGTCACATAGAAAATTGTATTGGTTGTGTAAAAAAGAACTTTTCATAATAAATATTTGATACTGTTTGTCTTGTATGGGTAAAAAAATACTTTTCCTTCCCGCCCATGTCATAAATAAGTTACTCTATTGGTATATTTGAGACCAGGGGTAATCTCAATGAAGGGCGTGACACAGGTATATTATTAAGAGCCAATTAAGTGAGCATATGTCGTGGCGCAGCGTCCGTCGTCTGTCCGTCGTCCGTCAAATCTTTTCTTATAAAAGCTATACTTGTTCTAAACGGCTCAGTGGATTTTGACTAAATTTGGTCTGCAACATCCTTGGCAGAATGGGGCTCATATATAAATGGAGGTTATGGATTCTTAGGGGCAGAGGGGCTTGGCCTTATAGGGAATATTGAGAGAGAAAAAATCCTCTTTCTGCCCCCACCCCCGGGGGTTGGGGCGGGAGCGGGGGTCAGAGAAGCGGGACCCATAAAGGAAAATTGAGGTTATTTAAAGAACAATATATAAAATCTTCTCCAAACGATCCAAGCAAAATGTTACTACCTGGTGCTTTTTGTGTCCGTCCAAAAATCCAAAATGACCGATCGGGCCTTTTATCAACTGAGACATGTTCGGCTTATCAAAAATTTCAAACACAATTACAAACATAACTTATAAAGTCACCACCAATTAGTGTTACTTTTCGTGTCGATCCGAAAATTCAAGATGGTCTTCATGATATTTGATTTGCTGAGACATTTTTTTTCACATTTTCCTTTTACTCTGTAAGAAACTACGTCCATTCCTGTGTCCTGGTCATCCGCAATACTCCATATCAGGGGAGGGCGTAATGGGCGTACGCCCCCCCCCCTTTTCAAAAAAATAAATAAAAAAATATCGTAATCTGCTAATATTTTATTGAATATGGCAAGTTATCATATTCAATAATTAAACACAAAAACACCCTGACACTTTAACTATGAAATATACATGCTCAGAGTCAGGAACCGTTACATTAGTGCATTTCACAATTATTTTATGTTTTTTAGCAAAAAAAAAAAAAAAAAAAAATTCGCCTCGCTCCGGTCGGCAAACGATTTGATTATACGCCACCACTTTCAAATATACTAGAAACGCCCCTGCATATGGGTTTACGCTTACTTTCGATCTACGCATGACGTAACCAATGGAGCATCGAGGGTGTACCAAGTGAATATAAACCACGTAAAAAAGCACATCCATCTCAAACATTATATATTCTAGAACTTGTAATATCGTTAACGGAGTAAGTCTGATGACAAAATCGAAGACATGAACGATTTATCAGTTATATCTGTAATCAAAGCATTAGACAGAGATCACAGCTATGCAGCATAAAAATGTAAAGCAGAAAATAAATCTGTGCATGATTTCTTTAGCTCAACTGGTACATTGTGCATGTTCCTTTTTCCCGTTTACCTAAGACACGGACAGGTCTAATGATGATGATGATGATTGATGATGATGATGATGATGATGATGATGATGATGATGATGATGATGATGATGATTGTTATGATGTTAAGTTTAAGTAATGGTGAAAATGGTGGGTGTTATGCTGAAACGAGTTGTTGTAATTGCTAGTGTGAGAGAGTGTATGCATGTCATATTAATGTATTGTAATTGTAAAAAAAGGCTGGGGTAAAAAAAAAGAAAAAGAAAAAGAAAATCTATCATGGCAAAACAAATCTGGTAGGACCTGAGACGGACAAAAAATAATAATACAAACATGTTTGTTGTTTATATTAAATAAAATGATATAACAGTATAGAAAAATGATTCAGACAACAGGCTAAGCCTATATCAGGCTTCTTCTATTTCCGGTAGTGATTAAATGTTAGTCTCCCTCTCATATATATACATTGTACATGCGTACCCCACACCCACACTATAGCTCACGTGTAATACTTATTGTCTGAAGGACATCACTTGCCTGAATAATAATAATATATGAATTTGGAATGTAACTAACATAAATAAGCAGCGAAACGTTTTGAGAAATTAATATCAGAGTCAACATGTATAAGAGTAGTGTATTTACTAAACAGTGCAATATTTAAAAATATCCAAATAGACAGAACTGATATACCGTTATGTCTTCTAAATTGTTTTTTTTTATTATCGAAAAGTGTTTTATTTGGCAAACATTGTACCAAAACTCTTTTCCTAGCACGCACATTGAGGAGTCTTTACTTATTTTATTGAATTCACGGATTCAATACATCTTATCCCGTTTCCCCAATTATAATTTATCCAATGCCCCCCACCTTAGGTCATCTCAAAACCAAATTTTGTAAAAAATATAGTCAGTAATCATTTCAATATATTTTAATGTTGATATCACAACAGTAAACAAATTTTAAATTAAATATAGAGCATAATAGAAATATTTGCCTATTAATTACCAAGTTGAAAATAAGAAGTGTGAAAAAGCTAGCATTTTGAGAAAATATCTTTACAAGCCTCCCATTGAGTATGACGATTTCCCAGCAACATCTCGCGAGATGATGCGGGAAATGAATCAGAAACTGCTCCCTTCCTGTGTGAATGAAAAATGGCCGGCGATTTTACCAACAACTCGATTTTGTGTCCAAATGTTTTGATGTTATCTACCAGACATTGCGATTGTGATGTATTTGTATCACGCGAATTGGCGTTTACTTGTACATAGTAAAATCATCGCTGCCGACGCCATGCACCATATTGATATTGTAAACATCAGCTTATAAAGCGACTATTTTGACAATGTATTGTGAAGCCATACCTCACCAATGTCGAACCGGACGCTAACATTAGAGTGTGCACTTGTTCAAACTATGGGGAATGGAGAGAGCACACATAACTACAGAGGACCAGATTTTAGAACCCCAGCCATGTCTATCCGACTCCCAATGCCCGACTCACATGAGCTCGAGCGCAGATTCACAAAAGTCCTGGTAAGTTTATGATAATAGTGGGTACTGATCAACTGTCGATAACCACTGTATCAATTCTCTGGTAATTATCAGTGTCAAAAACATAATGGAAAAGGTCCAGGCCTTGTGAGAATGTCGAATATCATTATGGTATATTCATTTTTTGAATAACAGTAAGAACATATAAAGACCTAGGTACAAAACTATTATAGAAGAGATGTATATTTAGTTAGTACAGTAATGAATCTGTATATTGTAAGGTTACGATGAAAGGACCAATTCTGGTATATGATTCTTCGTGAGAGAGACTGGTTACTCTTGTAGTAATGTGTGAGAGCTTCTGTGAAACCCTCCATGTCTCTGCACGTATCACATTTTCATCAAGCTGGTTCCAATCAAGAACAGTTTGTAGAAAGAATGTTTGAATTAGTTTGACTTGGCACTAGTTTTACTAATGAAGAACTGAGAGTTACAGTATTTGTCACCCTTTTTTTTCGACAGTGTTTATATACTGAAAGTTTAGCTTCTAGCTTAAGTCAGGATTAAAAATTTGACAAGGTGATTGCTGGTTACCATATATCCCTGGTTAGCTTGAATAGCATCACTAGACGGTTTAGCTTACGTCTGTGCTGTAAGGTTGGTAGACCCAACTCTTGGAGCATGGTGGTGACACACCCTTCTGTTTGGCTTCTTAGTAAATCACAGGATACTCACACATTTTTCATATTTCTATTCAAAAATCATAAAAAAGGTTGAGTCAGTGCCATTTTGTGAGCTTACGAGGCAAGTGAAGAGAGCAGAATGAGCATATTTTGGGATTCCCTCTGTAGCTCATCTGGCCCGAAGGGCCATGGACATGCTGGGATGAAGGGCTACCAAATTTGTTCAATTGAATGACCTTGCCTTATATTCAAGGTCAGGGGGGGTCAAATATGTTTAAAACTTTAAAACAACTTCTGAATAACCAGAAGGCCTAGGGTGTTGATATTTGGCCAGTATTATGCTGGGATGAAACACTTGGAAGTTTGTTCAAATGAATGACCTTGACATACATGTTCAAGATCAAAGGGGTCAAATATGTTTAAAACATTTAAACGACTTCTTCTGAATTACAAAAAGGCCCAGGTTGATGATATTTGGCCAGAAACATGCTTGGATGAAGCACTACCAAGGTTGTCAAAATGAATTACCTTGACTTAAATTTTGGATCTCATGGGCCAAATTTGTTTAAAACATCTTAATGACTTCTTATAATAAACAGAAGGTCTAGGGTGTTGATATTTGGCCAGTAACATGCTGGGATGAAACGTCAAAGTTAGTTCAAATGAATGACCTTGACATATAGTCAAGGTCATAGTGGTCAAAATGGTAAAAAGTGGTAAATCTTTAAATGATTCCAATAACCAAGCAACTTTCCCCATGGTCGTTTTGGCACATTCATGCAACCAAGATTGAATATTTCAGCATAATTCTACCCAAGAACGGCATTTTAACCCCAGAATGCTAAATTATGATGCAATTCTTCAGTATATTTTTGCATATGCTGTATTAATCAATTCACAACGTAACGTCAATGAGACCTGAACGCTAGGCCTACTTTGGTCTCATTCAACCAGACTCTTGTTGTCTGCACAAGGTACGCTGTATAAGAACTTGAATTACAAACTTTCATAAAGTGATTAAGCGTCCGGTTGAACAAAGACTATGGGCCTACTTTACTCAAGTGGATTTATCTGATTCTAACATATATTATGACTTAAACTTTTAACTTTTCGTAATGGTAAAATAGACAATGCAATCAGGATATTATACAAAAGTATATATTTCAAAACATTTCCGAAAATCCCTGAACATTTTACGATAAATGGTCGCGACCAAGGTTTTGCGTACCCCTTTCTTTACATTTTGAATTTTCTGCTAAAAATTACTGTTCATCCAACATGGTTTTTTTTTTACTGTTTTCTCTTAATATCATTAAACATATTGATATATGATAGAAACATTGCGATATGTCATCTTAAAAAAATGATTTCCGATATAACCGATATTACGATTGCACACCCCTACAAATTAGGGCTTTATGTACCTCCAGGATACTGAAACATAAATGTGTACGAAAATCTACATGTATTTTCAATTTAAATATTGCACATAGTTGTCTATGCTATTTGTATGAAATAGCCACCATACAATATGTTTAGTTAATTGAAGAGAAAATTTTGAAGTCTGTACATTTTTAAGCTTATATTATTAGTCTGCTGTTAATTACAATGCCCTACAAAACAGCTGGTTTCTGACAAGTGTCGGATGTTGTCTGATTTGTAAATATAAACCTGTACCAAAAGTGATTGATAGAGATACAATGTATGGTCAAGATCATGATATGTATCAGACTTGTGCGCCGTCCTCGCAGGTTTCATCAAAGCCGTATAGTCCATCTGTAACAGTTACTATGTCACCCCTAACTAATCATTACAAATGTATATTATGTTTGTACGTTGCAGGTAGCAGTCATCCTTTAGATTAAAGAATTCGAAAGAAAGGAAGATGTTAATTCTCATTTATGACTGCTACCTGTCCTTTTTTACCGTGAAAACTTCGAAAGAAAGATGTTAATTCTCATTTAACCCCTTTTTTAAGACATAACCTCTTAAATATGTGTGTATACACTGTATATGTATAAATAAATATATAATTCTTCTATTGAGGAATTGAACTGCACATCCTTTCCCATTTTACAAAAGCCTCAGACAAGACAAGCTAAAACCCGGTGATCTTAATTGTTACCTCCAGGTCCAGTACACTCTGCCGATTGATGAGCTATATATTTATAGCTATAAAAACCTATAATAGCTCTATTGACCTATCTGAAATAGGTCTTTTGAGCTATTTTCATGTGATTTTCTTTTTAAAGGAAAACAAAGTCGCTTTCAAAATGAAGATTTTATCACTACGATAGTTTGATAACAAAAGACAGTAAATATATAAGAATTCTTTAACAAAAAAATGATGTAAAAAAATCGAAAATTTTGCATTTATGAAAAATGAAAATAAACATCTAAATGTATGCTTTTTGTAGTCAACATTACCATAAACCTTATTGTTTTATGCGACTTTGCTTTAATTTTAATGAAAATTGAAATCTGAGAAAATATAGCTAAATACAGCTATAATTTATAGGTGAATATAGCTATATTATTCAATATTTCTTTTCTCGGGTCGATAAATCCAGGTATTGACCGAAGTTAAAGGCTACAATTGTTTAATTATTTTACAAAACAGTAATGTAAGCAATTCGAAAAAAACACAACAAAAAAAACTTCGGAAGTGGGGCGATGCATTGTTTGGAGACACGTCATAATACTATATTTAGAAACACCCAGTCCTTCAACACTCCAGACCAATCACTTGTCAGGAATAATATGAAAAAATAATAAAGGTCTTTATAGCTCAATCGGCAGAGTGTACTGGATCCGGACCTTCATCTACGAGTACCAAACTAATAATGATAACTTGCATCATGGTCATATATATATACATATTCTGGTAAGAAGCCTCAGCCTTTTTATTAAGACCATAACATACTGTTACCAGTACTTCTGGCTGTAAAATATTATGGAAGGAAGGCAAACCTTTTTTTAATTTTCGAAAACTTTTCTTTAATGGTTAATATATATATATTGAGACATTGTGTCAGACTTAAACGATAAATTAATTGTATAAAACTACGTAAAAGGTTTAGGGGATAAGATTTATATATATATTTGTATGGTCATATTAAGGGTTTCTACATGTATTTTTGCACGAAATTGACATAAAGCACTTTGCAATTTTAAGTGGTTACTTCTTAACATATATATATATGTGTGTATGCATGATGACCCATATGTTTAGCAGGGTACAACATTTATCATTATAAGGATTAGTTAAGTACATTTTATTTGTATGTACTTGTATCAACCTGGGAAAAGAGCCAATTGCCTTACTCACATGAGCAGATATTCTGCAAAAGTGTCGCAATTGGGTGCATTGCCGGTACATGGCACATGTTATTGTCGCCATCGTTGCATCATACACATGTACATCTACATCTGTCATGTGTGCTGTACTACATTATGTAAATTGCATATTTGGTCTTTTCATATTGCAGAGTTGTCTGCTCTTGCGAGCAGGTATTGATTGTTACGTCATTTGTTGTGAGAGTACACACGTCACACATTTTTGAAAAAATTACGTAATTTTCTCACACAAACTAATGACGTAACAATTAATACCTGCTCACAAGAGCAGATAACTCTGTAATACGAAAAGACGGAATAGAGAAATCCTGAGTATAACAGGTATGGCTCGAGTGCTCATACTTTGGTCCATTTGATCCCTTGTCAACTAATTTAATTATAATCTGGAGTGGTTGTAGTACATATCCATTTCAGTTCTAGATCTTGATCTTATCGAAAAATTGCATATATAATCTACCTGTGACATCATTATCCTGAGTATTTTTACGTACATGTAAGAATGTCAAAGAAACCTTGGAGGCCGTTGGACTTGTCCCATTAAAAAGGTACCTGTCTGCATCTGTTTGACAGTGACCTAACTAATAAATACACATTATATAATAAGATCTCCAGATATAGCAAGCCTGTCATCTGTACAATTGTAACCACCACAGCTAGCCAAACTGGTGCTGTTGTAATACATCGTCGGTGTAAATGGGTCAAAAGGAAAAATATAAGATGTTTCCATCTGAATATGCTAGTAAAAAAACCTTTCATTTCTGTCAGGTTTTGAATTTTTTGTGCTGAGGCATCCAAAAAATGGAGTTACAACTATAAGAACGTGAAGTAAAAGAAATGTACAGTATGAGATTCCTGTAGGCTACTGCCTGAAAGATTGCAATTATCTCTGGCAAATATCTGTTCAGTCTGACAGACAATGTAAGGTCATTAGCTGCCAGGTGACTGATGTAACATACATTTGTACCTACGGTATACTAGATCATATGAGTGATCAGATTTGTCAAAATCATATATACACAATAAAGAAATACATATTTTGAGGTAAGACTGTACAGGGTTGTACATCACTTCCTAAAGTAATCAATCTTCAGAATGTTGTGAAGTTGCAGCTAGCTGAAAAAGCATATATCTGCATGATTAATGGTGGAATATATATAAATAACTAGGGTGAAAAAAAAATAGTAAAAAACAAAGGCCTCCCAAGGCTTATTTAATTACTTGTCCAACATATTTGCACCCTGAGTTATCACAGTGTTCTTACTGAGAAAGAGATGGTTGACTTTGAAAGAAAAGCCGGTTGAACGTTCACATGCCATAATCTGTTGACCTATATATATGTATACTAAATAGTTACCAGTTCAAAGTTGATGAACAGCAGGCCTCTTTTGGCGGTACCTGGCTTTTAATGAAAAAAATCTTATTTATGCCATGTGTACAATACAACATGTATATAAACATATGTTGATTATATCTACAATGTATTTTACAACATGAAAAAAATGTAATTGAATTACATGAGTGTCAATTGCAACTTCAATGCCTATATGAAACGGCCCAAATCATCCAATTATTTAAATCAAGCTGTTCCTTGGCGCATGCAATTTTTTGTAATGCGATGCCTTGTTTTTATTTCACCATCATCAAGTAGCACACTGGCTAATGTTTAGTTTTCATTTCCTGATGATCATGCAGCCAATGTTTTTAATGCAGACAAACAGTTTTGACAGTTTAATGTACATGTAGGTGTACATTGTGTGTTTAAACAATTAGACACATGTTCTCTCACTCACCATATAGCTGTAATTAGTCTAAGACAAATCACATTAGCTCAATTGTAATTGAAACATGATGGAGTTTGAGGCTTTTGGAAAAGTATTGTACAAGTATAGGTGCATGGTTTGTTGGTAAATAATACATGCACTGCCACATGCATCTATTGTTGTCCTATTATGCTTTTGTTAACCAATGAAAGTGTTCTTAATAAATAGCATATATATATATAACCGAAAACTTACAAAAGTCTGTTTTAAACCTGATGCTAATATAAAAATGTCATATGTTGAACCTGAAGAGATGATTTACAGAAAATGTCTTTCAAACCTTACAATTTTCCTGTTTTATGTTCAGGCCTCCATGGACCTGCCACCGGACAAAGCTAAAGTACTCAAGAATTATGACGATGAAAAGAAATGGGACTTGATTTGTGACCAGGTACTTAAAACAATTGTATAATAATTAATATATTGTATAATAGTAATATCTTATATGAGTTCAAGGTGTATTTTCACTATTCCTGCACAAAAAACACTGTACTAGTCCAGGGTTTCTAGATACTTGTATATCTACCGGGTTAGTATTAGGGCAATAGCAAGCGATGGAAATATCTATGAGAATAAACTGTAGAAATGGTCATACTAGTAATTTGTACATTGTTTTATTAATATTGGAGTAATAAATCATATCACTATAAAAATCCTACTCACATACTGATATTACGTAAGGTTTATTCATGACCACCCTCATGACCCCTCTTATATTTTGTGGCACAGGAAAGAGTCCATGCGAAGGATCCGCCCCATGTCTACCTGGACCGACTGCGGACCTACCTGGACCCGCGTTCCAGTCGTAGTTCTCGGGTACGTACCTTGTCCTGGTCAGTCTTGACCGCCCAGATATCCTACTCACCATAATGATGTCACTTTTATTTGACATGTGCTAATCCCTGTCATTTCAAATTTGTTAAGACATCAGTTTTAAATATTTTGCAATTTTTCCTTAAATCTTTATTTTTAATTTTTCATTACTTTTGCTCTGCAGACTTGATTTTTACATAACAAATGCTGTAATACTTAACATAAATACCATACACATAATGTTTACTAGTGATAGGTGTCAGGTTTAATACACAGGATATTTTTGACTGTAAGAGACGGCTTAATTCAAGATGTTTGTAAAGTATTATTAACATACAATCTAGTCTTCATTTTGCTTCATTTGGTTATTTTATGATTATCCTGATCCAGCAAATTTCCTCCAAACATTGAGTGCAAAGGCAGAATTCAGAAGAAAAAGAGTTTCTTAACTGTCCTCAAAATGGAAGTTTCTAAATATTACTGGAAGAGAGGTGCTAGACTTTCCTCATAAATGTAGTTTTAACTCATTCACCCCTGAAGACACATTCAGACTCTTCCAATTCAAAGATTGGAATAGTTCGTTATGAAATTTCAGGGGTGAATGAGTTAAGGACTGTCCCTGTAAAAAAATCTATCCTATGCTAAAAAATAAGTATCTAAGGCAAATTTTATTAAAAGTTTTAAGAAAAGTGTTGAGTAGATGCCTTTTTAGGTCACCTGAGCTTTAGCTCAAGTGACCTATTGCTATCCGTTTTCGTCCGTCGTCGTCCGTCGTCCGTTGTCCGTCGTACGTCGTCCGTCGTCCGTCGTCCGTCGTCCGTCGTCCGTTAACATTTTACATTTCAAACTTAAAGTCAAGTTCTGCTGGGCCGATTGAACTGAAAGTTGATAGGAATGATCGCCTCATGGTCCTGACAAAGTGTTGTTATTTTTCGGGTCGATCAGAAATCCAATATGGCCGCCACGGCCGCCATTTTGAAAACCTATTTCAAACTTAAAGTCAAGTTCTGCTGGACCGATTGAACTGAAAGTTGGTAGGAATGATCGCCTCATGGTCCTGACAAAGTGTTGTTATTTTTCGGGTCGATCAGAAATCCAATATGGCCGCCACGGCCGCCATTTTGAAAACCTATTTCAAACTTAAAGTCAAGTTCTGCTGGACCGATTGAACTGAAAGTTGGTAGGAATGATCGCCTCATGGTCCTGACAAAGTGTTGTTATTTTTCGGGTCAATCAGAAATACAATTTGGCTGCCATGGCCGCTATTTTGCTACTAAGTTCTAATAGGCCGATCTCACTTAAAATTGGTCTAGGAATGATCAGCTCATGGTCCTGACAAAGTTAAGTTAACATTATACTATTTTTTACTCAAATTGGTACATATTTCAACAACAAAAATAAATACTATAGACTCAGGTGACCGTTAAGGCCCATGGGCCTCTTGTTAGTGATTAAGATGTACGTGGAAAACCATAAAACATTTTTTTTTAACGATAGCCTTAAGTTCTGCAAAAGCAATTTTCTAGACGTCTATCACTTCAAATAATTAACAGAGAAAAAGCACCCCTTTTCATTGTTTAAGCATGATGTGATATCCTATTTTGACAAGACACTTGTAGTATTACTGGTTTCCAGCAACATATGATTGGTTAAGGCCAACACCCACCTAAAATGATTATTCTTGTCTATGAATGAACAACAGGCCCCGCCCTTGTGTTATTTCTGTGTACTTGTGTTTATGTGTAGCCCCATGTAATCGAGCCAGCTTTCAGTAGGGCAAGGCATACACACGTTATATAGCCCTGATAACAATCAAGTCAGCTAATTAAGTGTAATCAGGTTTAATGGTACATGACTGAAATTAATCCAGATAGCTGGTAAATGAATTTTATTTTAAATCAATTAAACATAGTTCTTAATAAGATAATGAGTTGTTATGATGTAGTTTATGAGTTGGCCTTAGGCTATTAGTGAAGGATGTGATGTATAGCCTTATAAGTGCAGTGTGAAGTTAACACTTCAACAACTTTTTGAACTTGTTTAATATACTTATGTATACTTCCGAATTATATGAATAGCATCATGTTTTGTCACTCGTTCTCATTACAGAAAACACTCAAGGTCAATATTTTTATTATGGGTGAAGGTGTTTCTGCTGAAACCCAACACTATATTTGATGGGTGAACATATCTGCTGTAGATGTATACGTTACTGGCCATATATTTCTGCTATAGATCATATATTTATAGTACATGCTACCGGTTTATGCTGTAATTATTAACCCTGTACTATACTTGATAAGATATTTATTTTGATAAGTTGACAGGTTAGCTGTAAAACTACATACAATAGTCATAAGACATTTGTTATATCATTGTATCTCAGCTAGTAACCTTAATCTATATCCTTGGGCCTTTGATGTAACTGTATATTCCTAGGTCTCAGCTGCTTTAAATCCTGCTTAAATTTATCACTGGGCCTTTCCTGTTACTGTGGTATATTTTTGGACCTCTGCTGTAATCACTCTTTATCACTAGGCCTTTCCTGTAACTGTGGTATACTCTTGAACCTCTGCTGTAATCACTATTTATCACTGGGCCTTTCATGTTATTGTGGTATACGCTTGGACCTCTGTTGTAATCACAATTTATCACTGGGCCTTTCCTGTAACTGTGGTATACTCTTGGACCTCTGCTGTAATCACTATTTATCACTGGGCCTTTCCTGTAACTGTGGTATACTTTTGGACCTCTGTTGTAATCACAATTTATCACTGGGCCTTTTCTGTAACTGTGGTATACACTTTTACCTCTGCTGTTATCACTATTTATCACTAGGCCTTTCCTGTAACTGTGGTATACGCTTGGACCTCTGTTGTAATCACTATTTATCACTGGGCCTTTCATGTAACTGTGGTATATTCTTGGACCTCTGCTGTAATCACAATTTATCACTGGGCCTTTTCTGTAACTGTGGTATACACTTTTACCTCTGCTGTTATCACTATTTATCACTAGGCCTTTCCTGTAACTGTGGTATACTCTTGGACCTCTGCTGGAATCACTATTTATCACTTGGCCTTTCCTGTAACTGTGGTATATTCTTGGACCTCTGCTGTAACTTGTATACCCTTTGGCCATTGCTATGTCTGTACATTCTTGGGGCTCTGTGTCATGGCTGTATATCCTTGTGCAGCTGCTGTAATTACTGTACTGTACATGTATATTAATCGGCCTCTGCAGTCACTACTGTTTATCCTTAATTAATTGAGTCTGAATTTTCTTGAATTTCAGCTGTTCTTTTCTTCTGTAATTGCTGTATACTTGGGTCTCTGCTGAAATCACTATTTGTCCTTGGACCACTGCAATATAACTACTGCTCACACTTTATTTGGCCTCTCACCTAGTCTCTATTTTCTGTAAAAGGTGGTTTTTCCTTTGGCTCTGTTATAACCATATTATTGATACCGGAAGGATTCCGTAAAGAATGTGTGTGTCTGTTAACTAGTTACTATTGCTCCTCAGTGATTTGATAAACATTGAGTGTGGGGTCCTCTGTGTAACGTTGTCTGTAGTACACATCGTCCAATTTGTTCCAACACTGCTTCCACAGTGACCAATGACTCTGTTTCACAAAATAAAACTTCTTAGCCCTTCACACCTTATTTTGGTACCATCTTCATATTTCTTATTTCTAAAAGAAGAGCTTTTCATATGACAGTGATCTTTGAGATTTGTTTTCCTCAACCATGCATTACATGTATATATTAGTGTTCAAGTAAGTTTGAAATGTCTATTTAAATCGTGTGCATAGTTTGGCATTGTTATGGGTACATTTTAGTATAAATTTCTAGAACGGACCTCTACAAAAGACTGAAAAAAGTCTTAACTTCAGTGCAGTAAAAGTTTATAAGTTACACTTTAACCTTATTGCCCAGTGTTATACCCCTTGGTGTGTTGTGGTAGAGGAGATGGAGCGCGGCATCACTGGCAGACTTGTGGGGTGGCATGTTTGGTGTGTGTGGGTATGTGTGTTTGTTTGGTGTTGTCACTATAGGTGTAGGTGTGTTCCAGCATGTGTGGAAGGCTAACACAGGTAGGTCACCCGTTATAGTCTACATACCGTACACATGTAACTGAAACACCTAGAAGTATGTGTGTACTGACGTGTGGAACACACATAGGTCACCCGTTATAGTCTACATACCGTACACATGTAACTGAAACACCTAGAAGTATGTGTGTACTGACGTCTGGAACACACATAGGTCACCCGTTATAGTTTACATACAGTACACATGTTACTGAAACACCTAGAAGTATGTGTGTACTGACGTGTGGAACACACACAGGTCACCCGTTATAGTCTACATACTGTACGTATGTTACTGAAACACCGAGAAGTATGTGTACAAAGTTATGTCTTTTTGTTGAAAAATCCTTATCCAGAGAACTTCTTCAAAACGTCTAGGCCAATTTCATTCTGACCCTTTTTCAGAGTTATTGCCCTTTGTTGAAAAATCCTTATCCAGACAACTTCTTCAAAACGTCTAGGCCAATAGCATTCTGACCCTTTTTCAGAGTTATTGCCCTTTGTTGAAAAATCCTTGTCCTGACAACTTCTCCTAATCTACTTGTCCAATTTCAAAGAAAGTTTACAGATATGGTAACTGCCCCCTGTCGTTGTGCATCCATGAAGTACTTTTTCATTCCGACCCATTTAAAAGGAGTTATGGCCCTTTGATGAATAAACCTTTGTCTGCCTCATAACCTACCAAGCCGATTTCAATGAAAATTTACAGATATGGTAAATGACCCCTGATGTCATACATTGGGCTAGGTTTTTTTTCATTTCTACCCTTTTTGACGAGTTATGGCTCTTTCTTAAAAATCTTTGTCCTGACATCTCTTCCTTAACTAATAGGACAATTTCAGCAAAACTGGTTCATCTGGGCAAACACGATTTGTAAGTAAGTATGTTTTAGTATTGGGAGGGAGTATATGTCAGTGACCTGTATACTTAAATACGTGTACAGCTCAGTCAATAAAGAAATCATTACTGGTGGGAGACTGGATTGCTTTGCAATGCTTTGCCATAGTAAGCCATCAGCTTACAGTTCTGGTTTATATAGGAGCGGGTGTATTAGTTAGCCTTTGGCTTACAGTTCTAGTTATACATAAGGTAATGACTTGAACAGATTTTTTTTCTCTATTTTTTTTATCATTATTATTATTCATATATATATATTTTTATATGTCAAGTGCCATTACTGAAACATGTTCCTGAGACAAATGACATATTCTATGTTATGAGGAAGTTAGATATATATACTGATAGAAATGAGTGTTGATAATTGATTAGATGCACTACCACTCGTACTGTGATGGTGACATTGAAGCAACGCCACCCTGACCACCAGGCCCACTGCCAGCTACTCTATCGAAGACAATGGAAAATCTGCTTGATAATGTTATCAATGTTGGAATAGGATGATATTTACTTATATAAATCTTCAAACTTATATTAAAAATGCTTTAAGTTTTATTCTGAACTGACAAAGAATTGCTTGAAGTGTTACTTTGAACTGACACAGTCAATAACTGTTTCTTTCTATCAAATTATATTATTATAACCTCGTCTACAGTAATACCCCAGTATATTGCACCAGATTTGAAGAACTGCATCCTGGTGCCAATGCAATTTTCTATATTTCACCATTAAAACAAGTCCTGTAATGTCCGAGCTCTATATATTAGAGCCGTACACTGTGTAGCTACAGATCTACAGATAAGCACAGAACTACTTGGTTTTAATACACATCAAAAATTGTGAACAGATGATGTAAACTGTTTTTTTTTGCTGATTTGCTTTCCTCTTGATTTTTCCCTTATTTTCCTGTTTTTGTTATATCCTTTTAAGGTAGTTTTTATATAGAACTCAAAAAGCTGGTTCAATCTTTAATCATTGATTAAGATTTTTTTTTTAAGGTAACTAGGAAATATGTTCCTTTTGAAATTGTTAATTTTTTAATTGACCTCTTTCGTTAAGACATTACATGTAGTGTACGATTATGTACATATATCTACATACATATATCTATATATAATTCATATATATCGGAATCCATTTTTTAACCTTCATGTTAGCCTTACGTGTGAGTCAATTTCTTCTTTCGATATTTTTTTCCCCCCATTTAATGTACCTGACATGACAATGGCTGGATGACATTGATCATGTGACTATTTGCTATTTCAGCGCGGAGCGGCCTGTGTATTCTTACCTGTGGTTGTCCTTCCTCTACAGTGTGGTATAATAGATAGTGTAGGTCATCAGGGACAACGCTTGTCACATCACCATGTGTCAACCGTTTCCATGCAACCGTGTTGTTATGCCAATAGCTTCGTTGTTGTTTTATTTCAGTTGCAAAATAATGCTGGATTTTGCTGTTTTGAATTAATTTCTGACCCCATTATTTTTTGCATTTCCCTGTTTTTTGATGTTGTACATATATATGTAATGCTATTGTATTTTTATAGTTGAATAGCTCCCATTTCTGTGCATGTTGTGGAATTAGTCTACTGGAGTAAGGTTATAATGCCATTACCTTGTTTGATCATGTTTGTTACATTATTAGGTATGTATCATATTCACATTGACTATATAGGGTCACAGTCATGCTATTCTGTGTGGTGTACTATGTATCGGGATACATAATATGGAACCGTCAATTACAAAGAAACGAGTTACAATTAGCTGTCCTGCACTGTGCCTTGATCTTGCCCTGTTAATAAGTATGAATGTTTATCCAATACACCGCCATCAAGTAATGTAAGAACTTTATTGGGTCCAAATATATTGGCATCAAACAGAAAAGGTGGACAAAAGTCTGGTGATAAATATGAGCTTAAGACACTAGACAGACAATAGTTGATAATGTCTATATTAATTTTTATACACAACTGTGTATCTTGTCTGTAACTCTAAACAGACATGAGTCTGTGATCAGTAGATTAGGGAAGACGAGACTATGGCCAGTAGTTTTTAGCTCACCTGGCCAGTAGGTACCTGGGATGGAATGCTATAAGGTTTCTTCATTAAAATGACCTTGACCTTTTTCAAGGTCACAGGGGTCAAATATGTTAAACACTTACAATAATATCCAAAGAACCATTGGGACTAGAGTCATGATACTTTGGTATGTTATGTAGACCAGTTGTGTTAATTTTTTCTTTATTACAGTAATGAGGTCAAAGGTCAACTTTAAGTGCAAGTCGGGAGTCAAAGGTCAATGTGGGTTTAAGCTTACAATTAAAATTTAAAATTTCAAACAACAATATCTTCAGAACAGTTAAAGAGATGTTAAAATGTCCTGTGTTCTAGTTACCAAATTTGGTCTTAAGTTACCTATATGTCAGTTTCATGTAACAAAAGAACAGGTGGGCCTCTTGTTGTATTTTTGAAATGCAGAAATTTTAGGTCTATATCTTTGTAGACAAGACTCTCATAGGGTCTGTTGTCAACAGGTCTAGAGTTAAGTTTGTGGTGCTGGACAAATGAAAGTCTGTTACACAAGACAGACTGTTCTATTACATGTAGGCTGTATATCGTGAGGATATATACCTGGTAATGTTGGTTATGGTTCCAGAAACTCATATCCCTGGTCTGAGTTTCTAGACCAGAACTTTTTAAATCTGTAGTCTGTGTGGTATTTGACACACTAGAGTCTGCTGACAGCGGGTTTAAGCAGGCTAGAGTCTGGTCTGTTTAGAAGTGTGGATGGTGGTACCACGGACAACACTTAGTCTGAGGTGGAGTTACGGTCTATAAATCTGAAATGTATACAATATGTAACACTTAGTAGATTGAGAGATGTATAATGCAGTACTTTTGTGGAGAAGGAAAAGGGCATGCAACATGTGTTCAGTCTGTTTGTTATCTGTCACTGTGCCATATATATAATGTACAAACAGTTCACAGATGAACTCCAAAAAAAAAAATTTCAATGGGAGACCCGCCCTTCTTGTTTGGCTGTGATCTCAAGCTTTCACTCCAGCACTAGTCCCGTCAAGGCTGCTGTACAATGGCTAGTGTTACAGGCAAGGCAGACACATTTTCCCCCCATAATTGAATGTCTGCATGATAATCATGCTTGGCACAAGTAAATCTGACATCCTGATTTTGTATTTAATTACAGCCCCAAGAAGGCAAAAGGTATATATATATATAGCAGTCACTTTATTTAGATTTTATATGTAGACCCTAGCATTTCAACCACTGAAGATTATGTGAAGAAACTTTGTTTACATGATATATGTGCACTTTTACAAGATGCTGTCAATATCGTCAAGGTAAAGGTCACATCAAAAGGTCAAAGGTCAACCATGTTACCATTGAACAAAATGGTAACATGCAGATTGATAAAACTTGATTGATATATGAGTGCAGTGATAAAACAGTGTTTGTACCATACCAAGGTTTGTGTACCTTTAGTGTCAGTGGCACAGTATGAGGTCAGAGGTCAAATCACTGCACTGCTTGTCTGGGCTATAACCTGATAAGTAGTTGTTACATGTATGTAATTAATATATAGTACAATGTAACTTCACAAGTACAATGATGATGGTCCATTTACCTAATAAGGTAAAGGTCAGGATATGGAGTTATAGATCAAATCACTGCAATGCTTATCTGGACCATAACTCTAAAAGCTGCAGAACACTATTAAGTGAAAGTTCATAAACATTAGTTTAAACAATGCTTCTTAGCTATATAGGTTCAATATAATCCTCAATGTCAAAGGTCAGCAGTAGGGATGGGGTGATGTATACCTTTACTTGAACTATCTTGGATCTTATTTTTATGCTCTCCCACATTAAAAAAGTTGGAGGGACTTAGGGATGTAGTGTAACCCATTTTTGACCTGCTCTCTTACGTCGCTAATCATTGCCATGACTCTACTGACTTCATTTCTTAACAGATTTTCATCAAAGTTCATACAAAGTTCAAGAATTCTCATACACATTTTCATCAAAGTTTATACAAAGTTCAAGAATTCTAATACACATTTTCATCAAAGTTTATACAAAGTTCAAGTATGAGAATTCTTTGAATGAGTTCATATTACAGGGTCCCAAGGTCAATGCCAAGAGCACTTGCTATTTGTAGGTCATTGATTGCTATTTTGTCATCACTTTACCGATCACAGGGCAAGGGGCCATTCATGTCTTACAGAAGTTTCCTAGTTTTATGTCATCTGACTTTTGTGATTGTCTTTGTCGACTATCATCATTCCTTATGTGTTACACATCTTGTGTCATCCCTAATAAACTATCATATTTTGGACTTCTCTTCAGAAACTCCTGAGATTAGTGTGGGGATCAGAATCTATACTAGATAGGTCTGACCCTCAAAAAAGCTAAAGAGCAGAGCCATAAGCAGTTCAAAACCTTCAAAAGACATCTTCTCAGAAACTTGTAGATGGATTTCCACCGACATTCCATAAAAATGATCCCAAAACAGTATGTATTACCCTAAAACACAAAATGTATTACCCTAAAACACAAAATGTATTATCCAAAAACACAAATTGTATTACCTTAAACACAAAATGTATTACCGGTACCCTAATCACAAAATGTATTACCCTAAAACACAAAATGTATTACCCTAAAACACAAATTGTATTACCCTTAAACACAAAATGTATTACCCTAAAACACAACATGTATTGCCCTAAAACACAAAATGCATAACCCTAAAACACTAAATGTATTGCCCTAAAACACAAATTGTATTACCCTAAAACACAAAATGAATTGCCCTAAAACACAACATGTATTACTGTTACCCTTAAACACAAAATGTATAACCCTAAAACACAAATTGTATTACCCTAAAACACAAATTGTATTACCCTAAAACACAAAATGTATTACCTTAAAATACAAAATGTATTACCCAAAATGTATTACCCTAAAGTACAAAATGTATTACCCTACTTCACAAAATGTATTTCCTTTAAACTATCCCTGAAACAATACTAAACTTTATACTAGCTAATACTCAGTACGTACATTTTGTACATTTCATTACATTTAATTGATACACTGAGTGTATTCCCAAACACTGTTTTACTTAAACATTAGGTTTTACCCAATATTACAGTTTATATCCAATTAACACTTGACAAGGTATGTTTTACCCTCATCCTCAATATTCAGGGGTTATGCTCACTTTCGCTCTCTGCACCCCTGTCATATGTCATAGCAAAATTGAAGGCATGCCGCTGGCTATTTGATTGGTCACAGGTAAAAAAAATGATTGATTGCCATCGCTAAGGTTGATACCTGTCCTCTGAAGATTATAGAGGAGCGACACCCGTCATCAAAGCCAGTTAATCTTACTGTTACACGGCCGACAGATTCTTTTAATGTACATTGAAGGATCAAACTAGTTTTCTCGTCTCATCCATAACATGGTGCACACTGAGCCTTTGAATTTGCTATGACATATTCCAGGGGAGCAGAGAGCGAAAGTGAGTCTAACCCCTGGAGTATCGAGGATGTATTACCCTTAAACAAAGTATGTACCAATAATACACTAAAACACAGAAGTTGTACCACTTAAAAAAGTATGATTACCTTATTACAGTACATATTACCCTTATATATGGAGTGTATTACCCTTAAATATGGAGTGTATTATCCTTAAATATGGAGTGTATTACCCTTAAACATAGAGTGTATTACCCTTGAATATGGGCTTTACTTAAATTGTAAATTTCAGGACCCCTGAGCTATCCGTTCTCCCTTGGGGAGGGGGTAAAGTTTACTATACCCGGTAGTTTAAATAGGGAAATAACACGTTTGGGTATATTTTGACAACATTCTGTAGGAATTATTTTTACTTGATGAGAATTATCCTTGGAGGAAGACGGTTTCAAATTGTAAAATTGAAATTCCTACCCCAACCCTAGGGGCCAGGGCGGGGCCCCAAAGGGAAAATTAACCAATATTTCAAAAAACAATATCTCCAGACTCAGAGGTACCACAGTCATTTTCTCTGCATGGAAAGAAAGATCATCAGGGGCTTTACTTTAATTGTAAATTTCAGGACCCCCCCGAGCTATCCGTTCTCCCTTGGGGAGGGGGTAAAGTTTACTATAGTTCATATAGGGAATTAATACGTTTGGGTATATTTTGACAACATTCTGTAGGAAATTATTTTTACTTGGTGAAAATTATCCTTGGAGGAAGATGGTTTCAAATTGTAAAATTGAAATTCCTACTCCAACCCTTGGGGATAGGGCGGGGCCCCAAATG